CCACTTATATCATAATCTTTGTGCAAGGCTGAAGCATTTTTTAAAAATATGTATCATTTAACTCACCATAGAATAAATATGTTGGCTCCCCAAGAGTTCATGTTTAAAAAGAAAAAAAACCTTGAGAAAATAAGCAATATCAAGCTTTGAGAATACAACTGTTTGTCGTTAGAAAATTGTATCATTGTCCATTAAAATTTGGGGGAGGAAAGCCCTGAAAAATATATTTAATGTCCTGTTAATCAGGAATTAGTGACATCATAAGCTAAACTCCGGTTTACACTAACATTCCATGGCTCCTTTCTAGAAAGTGTGAGTGAATTTTAAGCCCTTGTTACTGACAGGTTTACAACAGAATTGAAGGGAGCTGAGCTTAGAGCACACAGGTATAGTGGAAGTGCCTCTCTTGCCCTCTGACCACACACCTCAAACTTGACCTGAGACGTCCATGTTTCTCTTCCACCAAGAACGACATTTGTGCCGCAATACATGGAGGTTTTGTTGTCATGGTTGTGAGGAGGTGTCGAAACATGATTTAATTTATCAAGTTATGGGGCAGAATGGAACAATGGTTTCTGATTGCTGACCTAGATCTGCTGGTAGATAAACTTACTTATTTATGAATTAGTTCTTCCTTAGAAATACCATTTCTATTCTTCATGTTACATACATGTCTGCCTGTGTATATTTTCTACTTCATTACTGATTTCAAGAAATATAGATTAATAATTTGAATGGGTACAAAAACATATTTGTTGAATTGAGTAACCTAGGACTATACTAAACTTCTAGACAGTTATACCATTCTACATAATTGAGTCCAGATGGAGAAATATATAAGTTCTTACTTAATTTTGTATGTATATTGCCATTTCACTTACGTGCATTGATGAGACCATATCTTAACTCTCTCCCTTAGTTTGCCCATTGCCAAAGGATATTAAATTATTTGAAGGTGTTTTTTTTAATTTTGAGAGATAGCAAATAAGTTACATATTTCAGATTACAAACTTCATTTTATTGAATTCAATTATATTTGAGATCCTGTTTTAATAATTACTTGAATGTGTTAACAAACCACTAACTAAGGAGATCTTAATAATAAATAAAACATGATTAAGATTAGAATAAGATAATGAGACTGTCTTATCTGTTACCACTTTAATATAACTTTAGGATCAATGTCTCCCAAATATGACTTGATATACCAATCTTAGGATTCTGATAATCAGAATCCTCAGTGCACTTTATTAGTAATAGCAAGTATTTATTCTTCATAACTATTGATGTTTCCGTGGGATAATAATTTGCCGTCTTTACTTGATCCACACCACATCCTGGTGAAATAAGACATCACTTACTAAATAACATCATTGGAACCACAAACTGTTTTAACAGAAATGGAATAGAGATTGCCTTTGTTCTCTTCAGAATTACTTTTGGTTCATATATTTGTAAGGTGCCCTTTAAAAAAAATGGCATGAATATATGAAATACATCTAGTGATTTCTGCTATTATTCTGTAACTGGTTTGGGGAAAATATTTTTTGTAATAACTGATAAGCTTGGAAATAATGCCATTTTTCTGCCATTTGAAAGGTCTGTTACATCAATAATTTTCACTAAACACGTAAGCATCTTTAACTTTTTTTCTGTGTAGTTTAAAGTTATTCCTTTTCCCCCACTGTGGAGGGAAATATCACTTCAGTTCAGTGCTTTTTAAATGAAGCATAGATCAGTGAGACAGATCCTGCTTAACATTCTGGGTTTTTTTGTATGTGTTTATTAAGGCACCTTAACAATGAACACGCGTTGGACGACCGGAGCACTGCCCAGTGTCGAGTGCAGATGCAGGTGGTACAACAGTTAGAAATACAGGTTTGTCAAATGCTCACTTAATGGACTTCCTTCTCAGATTTCTGGTGTGTTAAATTGAGTCCTGGGCAGATTCTGAGTCTTTTAACCACAAAACTAATGGATATACATGGGATTTTAGAGTATCTATGATGATGATAATAATTGATAAGGTGGATTGCTACAGTTTAATGCACTTATCACTTAAATGTATATAAGCTTTAGACTATATCATATACATTTGGGTATCCCAAGAAATGTAAAATCTGAGTTTTCCCTAGTAGAGGTTAGGCCAGAGTACCCAGTTGGATATGATTTTACTGTGGAGACACATTTGCGTGATCTAATCTTGATTTTTTTTTTTCTCTTGAGACTTTGTATTATAGCAAAACATCTTCAGGGTATCATCCCTATAATACAATACCCTGATTTTTTTTTCTGCCCCTGGTGTATGTTTCATTAAATAATTGCAAAAACTCATAATGTTTGTCTTTTTTTGGAGTAATGACAAATCCTTTTTAATATCAAAGATGGTAATATATATTGTATCAAATGCTGCAATTTAAGTAAAAAAAATTCTGTTAGTATGGAAAGAAAATTTAGCCCAAAAAATATATATCCACAAATCTGATCACAAAGCAATTAT